AAGGCTACGTATTGAGGGTCAAGAAGATCTGTTTACTTGGCACCAAAGGGCCTTCTTTTATGCAGGTTTCCCTGAGATAGGACCACCCACAGGGGTTTACAGAATAACCAATCATAAACGTACATTACAGAAACACTCCCAGCAATTACACACAAAAATCCTCCCCTCTGCCTGTGATCTAATTATGGCACACAATGGGTTAACATAATTAAACACAGGCAGTAAAAATACAGTTTTTATACATGTACTATAACTTTCAAACTACACATCCAATCTTCATAAAAATTACATATTTGGAATCAATCCATTAAGGGGAGCAACATATTAAAAAATGGCACAAATCAGACAAGGGGTTCAAAAGTTAGCAAAAGTGTCTTTTGGGGCCTGGCTGGCAGCATGGTTTTCTGGCCCAAACCGGTTTTACAGAGGCCTCTATCCTGGACAATGGGGAAAGTAATCCAATTATCCAGGGATAGAGGCAGACTCCATTAACCACATGTTAGCAAAAGACACAAAAAGACACAAAAATACATAACTCCTATTGAACAGAACAGAACCCCCACATTCAACCTATCCCCAGATGGCTTGGATCTGAGCGCTCAATATATCCAAACAGCGCTCAAATCCCACAAATACAGTCAAATCGCCATACACACTAGGTCCATAGTCATGGGGCAGAAGGCTGGCAATTAGGCTTCTCCATAACACAGGGAAGCAGGGCAATTTGTCAAATAAAATAACAGTTACAAATGGCAGTTTGTAACAGTGCGGCATTAGCATTGCCCAGTAGGCACACAGCGCGTTGAGCCCATTCACATATGACATGAGGGTCCAGTTGAGAGTCTTGGCTGAGGGCTAGGTCTGCGAAGTATAGCATCTTGGCAATGGGGCCGAGCAAATCCAGCACTTTGTCCTGTGCCACTTTCATGCCCTTCTCCACCCCTTTGCGCGGGTCCCTGCCTGTGCGTGACATGAAGACCACCATAGTGTCGTCGAATTCGGGCGTCAGTGCCACCTTGTCGGGGATCAGCGGCCTGGGGCATTCAGTCCTGAGGCGTGCCCGTACCTCCTTTTCCAGCGGTTTGCGCAGCCAGTAATGTATGAACTTCGCCAGGTGATCTGGCAGCGTCCACTCTGAGGACCGTGGGTGCCGGATGGTCGAACAGCGGTGTCCCTTGGTCGTCCAGGAAGACCCCGTCTTCGGACTGGCCGGTGTGGTGATCGTCGTCGAGTTCCTTGTCCCGGTTGACATACTTCGAAGAGGTGGGTGGGAGGTCTTGCCACTCTTCGTCGTCTGAGGGTGAGCCGTCCCCGTGCCACTCGTCCACCACATCTAAGGCATGTGGAACGTAGGCATCATCCGAGGATTGAGGTGGGAAGGACGCTGGCTGTCGGTCCGCTTTCTTAATACGCTTGACGGGCAACTTGCCCCTAGTCTTGGTGGAGGGGGGGCTCGAAACCTTCCTTTGCCTCTTGGCCTTAGACACCTCTGAGCCCGAAGCTTCCATGCGTTCAGGGGGGTTTGTGTCTTCCTGGCCGTGGGGTAGAGCCCGCAAGAGGGCCTTCTCTACCGAAGCCGCCACGGCGGCATTGATCATGGTTTGGAAGTCTTGGGTGCTTTGGGTATCCTCCATGATCTGGGGTGTATATCGACCTGTTGGGCGAAAACAAGGTTTAGTGGAGGAGAGTCACGTACAGATATAGATTGACTCTTGAATATGTATAGAAGGCTTTATATGCACGTAATTATTGAAGTCCGGGCAATATGCGTATCTCGTTACATGAAGGTATAGGCCCTTGTGCATATCAACGCGGTTCATCCCTGGTGGTGTGCCGTGGCAACCAGAGGACACCCACATCAATTGAAAATGGGCCGTCAGCGCCCTTGCATGCATATCTGGGGGGGTCACCCCAGGTGGTGTGCCATGAAAAAATACCCAGAGGACACCCACATAATTTTTGCACCCTTGGGTACAGTAATGTAATATGGCCCTGTGCAGGGCAACCAATATGATATTCCCCTTGAAGGGTATAGCAGTATCCGATCCCCTGTGGGGTAGATAGCGTTGCATCTGTCCCTGCCGGGACCAGAGAGGCAGTATGTTCAATTATAATAACAAAAAATGTATACTTGGTACTATACAGCCTTCATAAACAAATCATAATTGTGCATGCTTTAGTGAGCTGTCCTGTGGAGTATCCTTAATGTTATACAGCCTTAAGGGGGGGTGAGACCTGAGGGTAATCCCCCCCCCAAATCCGTTGCGGCGATCGGGTGATTCCCGAACCGCCGAGTGCAGAGAAAGGCGGCCGCAAGCGGGACGGGAAAAAACGCTGCAAACAGCAAATTCTAACCCCGGCTACCCTCCACCCGTCCCCACCCAGCCCCCTGGTGCAGTAAGGGCAGGTCCGCGCGGCGAGCGCGGCAGGGACAGCCATGACGCCCGCGGACCGCCAGGCTGCAAGGGCCACAAGACTCAGGAGCACAAAAGTAAACAGGGGCAATACTGAGTGTAAAGGAAACAGGAGGGGACAGGTATAGGAAGACAGGGAAAATAAGAAACACAATAAAATACAATAATAAGGTAATTTACAGGTACAAAGAAAAAACCCAGAGAGGAAAAATTACTCTGACCTGTTGATGGCTGGAGCAGCAAAGAAAGAGGAAGTGATGTCATAGACAGGGCCTTTTATGGGCACCATATCTTTTCTCTGATTGGTTGTTACTGTTTCTATGCTGCTGGAGTTTTCAGTAAAGAAAGATATGCAAATATGAAGCCTCCTGTCATGTGGTAAAATAAAGTATGTAAAATAAAAATAATAAATCAATAAATTGAAAAAAATTTGAAAATAAATTTAAAAAATTTACATAAAATTATATATATGTTTAATTTAATTTTAACTGTATTTATATATACATATATATACATATAAATGCAAGGGAGAAGAGTCTGCGCTAGATAACAGGAGTATAAGCAGCAACCCTAAAAAGGGAATCCCTCAAGACCCTTAATAAGACTAGAAATGAAAAAAGTGGGTAAGGGCTGCACTAGAATACAGTGACCTATACAGTAAAAATCAGACCAAATGGCCTAAATGAATAGACAACAACAAATAAGCCTATATAATAGATAAAAAAAAAGTCTCTATTAAAACAAAGTATAATAAAACAAAGTCCATCCAAGTTGTAAAATGTTCAATAGAATAAAAGTAAATAAAACGTCTCACTGGTATTACTGGATAGCGTATATGTACAATCCTCAGGAGTTGATCCGTCCGGGTTGTAAATAATCTGTATATGTGAAGACAAGAATAAAACACGACAAACTGCCAATGGTGAAATATTGTAAATCCAAGGATAAAATAAGTAAAAAGGAGGATAATACACTCACATTTGGAGGAGCTTAGGCCAGCTCTAGGATGGAGGGCGTTTAGCGGTATAATCCCCGCTAAGGGATATACTGGAGAAGTGTGTCCGTCGGTCCGGCCTTGGTTACGTCGTACTCCACAATATATATAAAAAACAGCAATAGTGCTCTCAGTTTGAAAAAATAAATAAAATAGATAAAATAAAATATACTCACAAGTGTTGAGCAGAGAATACTGCTCTATTGACACAGCACTGGTGGAATAATCCCCACCCATGGAATTCTTGAATCAGGGTACAATAAAAATGCCAGGAAAAGTAACAATAAAAATATAAAATACAATAAAATGAATAAAAGATTGGTCCTATAAAGAAAGGTAACCAAAAAGAACTTTTATTGTTTAAAATACACAATTTAAAACCATTAACGCGTTTCACCTTTAAGGCTTTATCAAAATGGTAGCTTTTGATAACGCCTTAAAGGTGAAACGAGTTAATGGTTTTAAATTGTGTATTTTAAACAATATTTATGCTCAGCGAAATATCCTCATGTACAGGTTTTATGGTGTTTTCAAAAGTTACAGAGTCAGATATAAGGATGCATTTCAGTTTTTTTCACATTGAGAATTGCCAGATTGATTATGTTGCCTTTGAGAGCATATGGTAGCCCAGGAATGAGAATTACCTTGATGATGGCATACCATTTGCAAACGTATACAACCCAAGGTATTGCAAATGTGGTATGTCCATTCTTTTTTCGTAGCCACTTTGTGACTTTGTCACAAACACTGGCCAAAATTAGCGTTCATAATAGTTTTTTTGCATTTTTCACACACAAACAAATACAAATGCTAAATTTGGCCAGTGTTTGTGACTAATTGGCTACTAGAAAAGACTGGACATACCCCATTTGAATACCTTGGCAAATGGTATGCCATTATGGGGGTAATTCTCATTCTTGGGCTTCCACACAGTCTAAAAGACAACATAACCAGTCTGGCAAATTTCAGTGTTTATAAACCAAAAAAATTAATTTAACATGCTATATTTGACCCTGTAAATTTTCAAAACAACATAAAACCTGTGCATGGGAGCTACTGTTTTAATAATGAGACATCATTGAACACAAATATGTGTATTGTATTGCATTAACAGCTAACAGTATTATGACATTCACAGTTAAAATGCCATGCAGAACTAAAAATTTTAATGAAAGCCCTGTTTCTCCTGAACAAATTATGTATAATTGTGGGTGCACTTAATATGAAAAAGGTGAATTATGGTTGAATAGATATATAGCGCAAATTCCAGGTTTTGTACAAATTCTCTGAAACTGCTATGTTTATTAAAAAAAAGGGTTAATCCTAGAGGGACCTGGCACCCAGACCACTTCATTAAGCTGAAGTGGTCATTTAAGATATTTTGTCTTGCATGAGGCTGGAGATCTGGTTATCCTTTTTGGTAAAAAATAGAAGAATGGAATGCCAGTCCGAGTAATCTTCCACTTCACATGGTAGTGTGTTGCTGGGAGATAACTGTGGTGTGCACGCTGCACTTGGGGTGTCTGCCATATAGGGCTCCTCGGCTTGCAAGGTCAGGTGTAGGGGGGCATCAAGGAACTGCCTTAGGGATTATGGGGCGCTACGATTGTCCTGGACTGTCAGAAATTCCCAGCTGCTTCATCCGACCCATTGTGTGTCTTAAGGGTAAGTATATAAGGCTAATTACAGCTGATTATTGCCGTTGACATAAGGAACTAAAGTGCTAAGGGCCATTCACTTTGTCTGCAGGACACGCTCCTTCCCTTGATTCTTTCTTTGGACAGCCTGAAGATATAATATGTCTACTGACATAACTGGCCTTGTTACCACCGGGGGTACCATTGTTATCTTACCACTTTTAGAACACAAGGCAGAACACCCATTTTCCTGTGAAAAATCTGGCACTGATTCTGTTGCAAGCTATGATTCGCAATGAAAGCTTGGGAAGAGCAGAAACATTGCCTTTGTTGTGCACCAATAAATTCCAATCAGACTAACCTTGAAGACCTAGCTTGCTGCATATTTGATCTATTGAGCTTGGTCCCCCATTGCTTTGTGGATCAAGCTCATCCACTTAATGTGTGCCATTCCCCTTGTCCTTGTCTTTGACCCATCAAGCTGGGTTTATCCTGTGCCCAGTCTACAGCTTATCACATTCAAATATAAAACTAAAGCTGTAAATTGTTTCACACAGTGACAAAGTGATCGATAACTCAGACTCAAAGCATGCCATATTTTATTCCATGTGACAAATCTCTGGTACAATTATGATTTGTAAATATATTTCACAAATGATGATTTGTGAATATATTTACAAAGGTTTTTTTCCCTATTGTTACATATCTAAGTGAAGCCTCCAAATCCCTGTAAAGTTTGTACTACTGGAATTTAGAGCATATAGCAAATTTATTTGGTATGAAACATTTTATATTCTGCACATATGTACTGGAGAGATATTTTACAAATGTTGCTGGATCGTATTTCTTTTCATGGATTGTAGGTAACAAAGACAGACAGGTGTCCTAAGAGTAGATTAAATATCACATTTACACCCATGAATGTGTTGGAAAAAGCATGTATGTAGGGTGTACCTGATTTGTAAGGATGATGTCATTGTGAGAGGACATTTTCCAACTTAAGGGCAAGGTGTGTTAGATGTAATGGCTGGAATTCTGACGTCAATGGCAGGTGTTGGAGGGGGCCTTACATAACAGTACCAAATATAAATTGGGGGTGTGATGAGGAGGGAAAATCAGACGATCAAACCTTTATAAGGTATGTTGTAAAAGCGCTAGGAAGATTTTAAAACTGAGAAAAAGTATCAAATTGAAAACATGAATATTTATTACCTTCTTTGTGCAGCCTTGATAGTTATTAAGCTTAATGTTGCGGTTGTGGTGGAGACAAAGGGTGGAGGTAGGCAAATAGATTCTGGAAAAAGATTGCAAGGATCTAAAGATGGTAGGACATCTGGAAAATTTGTTCAGATGGTTAAGAAGAGATCAGCAATGGATGGTTGGACAGATTTGGATGATACTGATGAGGTTGGTTGGAGTAACAAACGTGGAGACAGTCATGAACCGAGTATGAAGAACAAAAATTCGCAGTATGACCATCCGGAGAAAAAACATGGCAAGTTCAATATGGACAAGGTAAGAAAATGACTGTTTTCCTCTATAGATTTTTCATTATAAATTAGTAGAAGGACCAGTCCCTTTTGGTCTGCAGTGGTCTGGCCACTAAGAATGAGGATATATTTGCTGTTACATGCAGAATGTAGACACTTTTTTCTTGCCTACTACAAGTGCCAAGTAGAAGAGCTGGTTTTACAGGGTGAGTGGTAATAGACTGAAATGGGTAGATGATCATTTTACTTGCATAATATGACAGACTCCTGCCTACATGTCCTCATTTTTAAACATATAGTTTACTAAACAAATGCCAGGCAAATGTCTAGAAGTATATAAACAGCCATAAGAGTGTTTTAAGTGGGACCACAATATGGGAGATTATTCCACTGGTTCTTAATAAACATGTCCTTTAGATATGCAGTTGTAATAGAAATGATTCAACCCCCATTCAAAACCAGGTTATCAAAATTTACAGACCGTCCGCTGTTTGTAATGAACAAATCAAACAAAAGCAATTGAAATAGCTGAACTGAGAGATTTCCTCAAATTAAACTGAGAATGCAACTTATAATGACTTCTCCAGTCTCAAAATTATTCCACCCCCTGAATAGAATCATCCACAACAGCACAAATATGCAAAACAGGTGATATCTAATGAACACCTGATGCAACTAATGAAGATCTTCATTAGTTGCACCAGGTGTGCTTGAGCTGGAACACTTCAAATACCTGAAATGATTAGGGGTTTGTTGAGTGTCACATTGACTGCACATTAGAACTATGGATAAGTCTAAAGAATGGTTTACAGAGTTAAGAGATGAGATCATTGCCCTTCACAAACAAGGAATAAGATACAAAAAGATAGCGAAAGCACTGGAAGTGCCCAGAGACACAGTTGGAAGCATAGTTTGCAAGTTCAAAGTTGAAGGAACAGTGGTTACACTATCTGGATGGGGCAAAAAAGGACGCTATCCATGGCTGCAACCAGATTTCTGAGAAGGCAGGTTTTGAAAAACCCTCAAGTGAACACAAAAGACCTGAAGCAAGACTTGGTTGCAGCAGGCACTGGGGTTTCAGTGAGCACAGTAAGGCGTGTTCTAAATGCAGAAGGTTTCCATGGCAGAATCCAAAACGTACACCACTTCTGACCAAAAAGCACAAGAAAAGTCAGCTCCAATATGCTCAAAATACTATTAATAAGACACAGAAGTATGGGGATTTTGTTTTGTGGAGCGATGAAACAAAACAGAATTTTGTTGGACCAATGGATCAGCGATTTGTCTGGAAGAAGAAGAAGAATGAAGCATTTGCTGAAAAGAGCACTCTCCTTACGGCCCCAGAGCATCACCGAGCCACTAGTGGTGGCTCGGTGATGCTCTGGGGTTGCTTTGCATCCTCTGGCACTGGAAACCTGCAGCATGTGGAAGGCAAGATGGATTAATTGAAGCATCAGGAAATCCTAGGAGAAAACCTCATGCCATCTGTAAAGGGAAGCTGAAGCTTCCAACAAGACAATGATCCCAAGCATACCTCAATTTCCATTAAGGTTTGATTGCAGAAGAAGTCCTGGAAATTTCTACAGTAGACATCAAAGTCACCTGACTTGAACCCCATAGAAAATCTCTGGTGGAATCTGAAGAAGGTGGTTGCAGCATGCAAACCCAATATTTTTACTGAACTGGAGACAATTGTTCATGAGCAATGGGCTAAGACTCCTCAGGAACGCTGCCAGAAGCTGGTGTCTGGCTATGCATCTCATGTGCAGCAGGTCATAACAGCAAAAGGGTGCTCTACTAAAGATGCTTACCATGAAGGGATTGAATAATTTGAGACTGGATAAGTCTTTATAAGTTTCATTTTCAGTTGAATTTGGGGAAACCACTTGAAGCATTCACTTTGTTGAACTATTTAAATGGCTTTTGTTTAATTTGTTGATTGCAAACAACTGAAAGTCTGTAAATTTTGACAATAAACTTGATTTACAATGGGGGTTAAATAATTTTGATTACAACTGTATATAATATTCAAATGTAAAAATTTAAATATTTATTTATATCCTACAATTTATAGCACTGGATATAGGACTTTCTAGCCTGGAGATACTCATGTTGTCATTGGTAATAGAAGTGACTTTCTGTGCACACCTCTTCAGACTCAATGCATACTTTAGGTTGAAGTTATCCTGGGTGGGGTATTCCATTTTTTTTTCTTTTTTACTATAGAAATAACAATTTTTGTCCCTCGTTCCTATTTCTTTCCTACAAAAAACAGTTTTTAATAATGTCATGATTTATATTTCTGTGAGTAGTAGTTCCCTTCATAATCTTCTGCAGAGAGAGTGGTCAGTTGAGCTGCAACTCCCAGAAACCCCTGCTATGTCCATAAAAAACTGCATAAAAGCTTGGCATTGCTAGAGTCAGTTAAAGGAACATGAATGCCTGGTTGGTTGACTGTCTGGTTTGGTAATTGCACCAGCTGCACAGCCTAGGATCTTGCAGCAAATGCAGAAACCTCGGGACATGTATTTACTTTATTTTGCAAATACCTTTTTATTTCAGCCAAAAAGAATGGGTAAAATCCTCCCTGGAATGTACATAAAACCAAATAAATGTAATATCTTGGTTTCATGAACAATTTTCCTCATATATGTAGAGAGTGGCCTAGTATACCATTTGATTTGGTTATTATTATTTTTTTGCTGCATAAGCGCTGTGTTATTACAACTGTGTAAAGAAACATACTGTATATGCGCAGTGAGATGAAGGGGAGATTATATAAAGTCAGAGTACAAATGATCCATGCCCTTCCTTCACTCCATGTGCAGTCTGGTTGATGAGTTGTTTTTATTTAAATCCCCTACCCATTGTAGATGTGAGAAAGCTTCTTGCTGTGTGATTTTTGTATATTTACTCATTGTTCCTGTCCTTTCAACACCAGAGAAGAGAGCAGCACATGGTTCGCTTTCCTCTATGTCACAGAATGGGACAATGTTTGTCCTGGCGTGCATGCCCACTGTAGTAAGCAGTAAAAAGCTAGTGAGACTTTACTCAAGGACAGAAAGCTACAAGTAGCTATCTAGTGGGTGATATGTATTACATTTTCTATGGTTTCCTTTTCAGTAGTTTGCTCCATTTAATAGCTCAGATATATTGCCTGATGGATCTCATCGTGGTGTAGGCTTGCTGCAATGGTCTAGACTCTAGTAAATTAAACTCCTTTGTTGTATAGTCTCTATTCTCAGGAGAACTTGGCTTAGGTATTGGAACAGAGTTAAGTTTAAGATTTTTTTTTAATTTGTGGGAACCGAACTAGTTTGGTTGCAATAATCCTTTCAGTTGGCAGACACATGTAAACCAATAACACACTCTGCTTTCTGTCCCTTTGATTTCAAAGCGCATTGGAATATTTTCAGTCATACTTTTGTCTTTTTCAGTCTTCATGTCGTGCGGTCACAGCTCGTTCCTGCCAGGAGCCCTCAGATTGTGCTGGATGCTTTGGTTTGTTCACCTGCCAAATGCCACAGGGAAAATGCCATCTGAAAGGTGTATCCAGAAGAACAGGTACCAGCAGAAATTAGACCTTATTATAATATTATTTGTTCCCAGTTAGTAGTTCTATATGGTAACAGCGTAAAGACATATATTCTACGTTCTGCGGGAAGAGTGAAATTATGGGTGTGTGGTGTAATTAACAGGAAGTTATATCTGCAAGATTTGTGTGCCCTAATTTCCTTTTGAATTGGGTTGCCAGATGTCTCCATTAACTGGGAACTTACATAGAAAATATATGCTATAGAAGAGCATTAGAATAATTTCCACCTCCTAAACTTTGTTTTGAAGAAACAAGCTAGAAATACCTTAATACTTTGTTATATAAAGCATTCTAAGCTGAATACTACAGAATGGGGAATGGGATGTCGAGCAGGGAGGAGTTTTGGAGGGCACGGACTAGGAAGCTATATAGGAAGCAAACAAGAAAACATCAATTTGTGTCATATTACAGGAACAGTCATACAAAACCATGTTTAGATGGTATACCACACCAGCTGAATTAGTCCACATGAAAAAAAAACCCCAGTGATCAATGTTGTAGACTATGTGGGAACTGAGACATATATGGATATATGCGGTGGTTCTGTCCAAAAGTGGCCACATAGTGGAAGGGCATTGAGAAATTGACACTTTTAACCTAAATTAACCTGGTTACATCCCCAGGGCTTTCAAGCTGACAACAGGTCCTGTTACTTCCTGGTTTGGTTAGCTCAGTGGAGCTAAACTCAAAAAGCAGCAATAGCACAGAGCACCTGCCTTGCAAAGACTTCTCATTGATCTGCATTTGGAAGTCTGTGACTGGACAGCCACAAAAAGTATGGGCATGGTTAGAAGGGGAGGGTTTGCATAGACAACAGACAAGAGAACTGCAGGATTTGCAAGCTGCTTTTACATTTACGCCAAATGAAAAAGTGCATAATTTCATGCATGCAAGTTTTTATTGTGTGGTATATCTACTAAACAGTGACTTTTACGCATTTTCTATTTGGCAGTGGAGTGTCCCTTTAACACTGCAATGTTCAGTTTCTCTGAAGCTGCAATGTATACATTGCAAGGCTAAGGGGTAGAGGGACAGTGCACCCACAGCACTTCAATGAGATGAAGTGATCTGGGTGCCCCTTTAAGCATGTGACTTTGGAGAATAGATAACCCATTCATACCTATGTGCTTTTTATGAGGGATTTTTGTGCTTTGTGAAGTATTGCTGCATATTTTAACAAGTGTCCATTTCTTTCTGATTTACTTTCAGCCATGTTCCACCACAGTGTCCAGAGAGACATCGAACCTAGTATTGATTCATGCTAAATGTACACAGCATGGAACTTCGGTGCAATAATCTTTATATATCATCTTCTAATGGTTCTGTTAAATCATATTCAAAGATATTAAAATGCAAGTATTTAGTATTTAGAGGTGTAGGATAAGCTCCTTTACTTGTGTTGCTTAAGTTTTATTTCTATGTAGCACAAATCTATTTCAATTATTCCCCTGGATGTAGTTGGAAACCAGGGTAATCTGAATGTACCTGAATACTTTGTTATTATTATTTAATGCAGTTAAATATATTTTAAGGCTATGCACAGTGGCAAATAGATTTCTCTCTATCCATTTTTTCTACATCTTATCTTGCATGTTAGAATGGATCAAAACCTTTATTTTCATATCTGATTTTCCCTTGATCTAAGTAACCTCATATAGCAGAAAACTTTATCCTTTTGTACTTTAGTAAATCCCTTAAATTATATAGTTATAGTTGTCTGTGACCTCACTCCTATCAATTCTCTGCTCCAAACTCTACATATTTAGGTATGCAAAATAAGGTCTGTAACTTGGATACCCCAACAATTCAAGAAAAAAGCCAGAAAGAAAAAATAGGGCTCTGACTGCACCAGATATGAATATCAAATATGGATATATATATATATATATATATATAAACAATATTTCCAATTTGTAACAATAAATATCTTAAATTAGAATGTAATAGAAGAGAAAATTTCTTTCTTTCTACATATGTGGGCTTTCAGTCTATATTGCTTTTTTTATTAACCCCTTAAGTATGGAGGCAATTTTCCAAATTCTGAACCATAAAAAAAAACAAAAACTAGAATTTGCGCTATTTGTTCAAATGTAACCTGTGGGTCTCTCGTTAATATTTAATAATAATATTACATATTATATAAATACAGATATGGCTTTCTTTTAACCTCCTTTATGTAAACCTAAAATAGTATTTTAAGTATGAATAAAAATGTTAAAAATCTGAGAAAAATAAAACCAAAACAAAACATTTTCACAGTTGTTCTTATAACTATTTTTAAACATCAAGTGCCACAAAAGAAAAATACTCAGGATTCAAGATTTTAGTCCTGATTGTTAAATGCCTCATATATGTAAGATCTAAATTAATTGTCGGTAGTTTACACTAAACCTATACCAACCCTACCAATAACGCTACACCAAACCTGACTCTTTGCTTACACTACCTCTAACTTACCCCAACCTTAAAGCTGCACTATCCCTAAGCCAGCATTAATTCTTACCTTATACTATTAACTCTAACTTTATGATAGCCCAGAGGGATTTCCCAGCTCACACTGCACAGAGCTCGCTATACTGTGTGATTGCTGCATGAAAGAGATATATCCCTCTCTTACTGTGCTCTGGCATGCTGTCCCTGCCCATCAAACAGTGACTATCAGCAGAGGGATATTAGTTTTTGTAGACCATGTGGGTCTCCCTTAGACTGGGATCAACTAAGTGTGATCGCTCAAGCGTGGTGATTTGAATGGATTTAAGGACTGTATGGAGATCTTACTTTGAGCATTGCATACAGCATATCCGTCGGTCTGAAACCACTTAATATTCCCCTCTGACACAGTGGAGTCCAAGGTATTCATTGATACCTAGGTCGCCCCTGTGTGAGCCGGTATTTTTATCTCTGATTATACCAAAAGAACATGCTAATGTTATTAATACCAACTCGGTGGAGAATGGCATGACTTAAAGTTCTCAAGGGGGTGTTAATAGGCTGACCATGCAGTCTGAGGAAGGCAGCCGCCTGCTGGTTTTGTGCAAGAAGCTGACATATCGTGCTCAGTATAGGCCACCACAAAACCATTCTGCACTTTAAGCACTTTTTCAATAG